GGGGGGGGGGGTGGGGGGGGGGGGGGGGGGGGGGGGGGGGGGGGGGGGGGGGCGTGTGGATGTGCTCTGTGTCCGTCTGGGAGAGCGTACCCCAAAAAAGCAAAACAGTGGAACCTCGGGGGAGGTTTCGCCCCCCGGGTGTTTTCTGTTGTTCGCTGAGCTCGCCCGGGGCGTGTTTCTCCCACGAAAACATTCATACGTGCGTCCCCCCGGGCGCCCTAGTAGTAGGGGTGGCGTGGGTGGTGGGGTGGACCAAAAGAGGAGTTCGGTAGTTAGAACATCGACAGGGCATGTCCCCGGCAGTGTTGCTGGGTTTTCACCGTTCGGAACAAACAGTCGGTCCTTGTCGTAAGCGAACCTGCTGCGCGACTATTGCCAAGAGAAGGCGCGGCACAAGCAACCAGAGGCGACTGTGCCGCTTGTGGCAACAGCTGTCTCACCGTGCAGCGTGGATAAATTGATTGCTCGCTAGGTGTAGTCGTCGATGATGCGGATAGCGCTGGAAGAACATTTTCCCGCAAGTGCACAGCCGACCCCCGCTGTTAATTTCCTCCCTGAACGTTTCGTCTATATTGTCCTTGGAATACTCTCGGCAAAAAAATGTCTTCTTCTGTCTCTTTCTCAATCTCTCCCTGTCTAGATTCAACCCAGCTTCCAAACTTCGACCCGCTGGTACATTGTTGCTAAAGCACGTCATCAGTCTTGAGTGCTACAGGACTCTACGCCACGATGGAATATTCTCCTCTAACTCCTCCTCTCTGAAGGGTCTCGAATAAAAAATGTACTCCTCAATTTTCTAGAGTAGAGGTCGACAGCGGTGCTACTAGCAGCACCCCCCCTCCGACGTCCTCACGCCGACCCGTACTTGTCCTCGAGAAGCGCGTACAGGGCTCGCATGCCCTGCGACTCCCCACCCTCCGGCCGCCCCGGCCTGGAGTTCGTGTTGAACGCCATGAAGTCCATGTGTATCCAGGGGAGCTTCTCCTTCTTTCCTCCTTCTCCCTCTTCCGTGGAGGGGGAAGCCTTTTCGCCCACAAACTCGTCCAAGTATAGCGCGGCGGTGATTGCTCCTCCGTATCTGGACGGAGAGTGGGTTCCACGAAAGGTAAGGACCCACCAAAATTTCCAGAAAAGTTTGTGTTGATGATTCTTTCATTTTTGAGTTTCCCTGCTGTCGTCCGCCACAGTCATTGCGAGTTTCGAATCGCGGTGAAAACGTAGTTGACTTGAAAAAGCGTGTGAATGGTGGCCAGCCCCGAGCCGTGTTGTATCCAAAAATGCTCTGAACGACGAGAGCATCAAATCCAAAACAGAGTGCAGGCCAAACTAGTTTTTTAAGCAGGACGTCCACCACGCTTGGAACTCCAGGTGAGTATTGTTCCGCGGTTGTTCCAAGTTGCCCGTCATCCAAGTTTGACCCGGGATCCAACGACTTTGGACGTCGACATTCGTCCCGCAAGGGTATTCTGCACGCATCGCTGTCGCATGATAACATCTGTGTCTCCAACTGTTGCGCGCCGATTCTCGTTGGATTGTGTTTTCCGTTCTTGCGTTGGCGAAAGTGTGGTACGTTCTCCTTAGCGGTACAGCAGTATGGCCCACAGTCAAGAACTGTACAATATGGGCGTTGAAATCGATCACAACGGACGGGGGATGCGTGTCCGGGGGTTATTTGCTCGCGCACGGCACGTGGCTCACCCTCCGGCCCCGACGTTCTTGAGGTCAGCTATCTTGGACGAAAGCTGGCTTCGGTAACCCTCCCACAGAGGAAGGCGCCAGACCTGCCGAGAACAGCGGCGCGACAACACATGTACACAGCCATCAAGCGAAAGCAGAGAGCAAGTCCAGCGTCCAGCAAATGTGTTTCAACACTCATTGAAAACACTTCAAGGCATCGCTTCGATTGGGGGATTATCTCGAAAGGGTAGTCGTTCCATCACCTAATGTTCATGTCTTCTGAGGACGGCGAGAGCAGCTGCATCACACTCGTCAGTCAGCGTACAACAAAGGCACCACGTATGGCAGCACCTACGGCCGAAGAGGGGCCATCGCCCAGATAGATGAGAATGCCCATTGCAAGGAAGACAATGGCGTCTACACAAGCCTCGTTCGTAGATCTTAGCGGTGGGGTGCCTTCTCCCGACCGCAGTTCCCTCCTGCGTTTCGTCGCCGCTACAACTGCTCTCCAAAGCGACGTGCGGGCACCCCCACGGCTCATACATGCCTGTGCGCGAAATTGTCTACCCGGAGATTAGAGGCTTCACCTGATCGGACACGCTTCCGCTGAGGGTGTGCAGCTTGGCCGCCAGGTCCTCGTCGTTGCAGAAAACCACGGGCACTTCTGTCCCCAGAGCAACTCGCGCAGCCCCTGGATAGAAGAAGAAAAAAAACGAAAGTGAGTCGAATCGGGTCTTCGTGGACGATCCCCGAGCAGCATCGACTACACTGTTGTCCACCATAAAAAAATGGGGCCGGTCGAAGTAGAGCTATACCCAATCTCCGCAGAAAACAGGATGGGTCCAAGCTCGATCAACACTCTTGCAGACAAGTTTCCGGTGCTACTGCTGTAATACTGCCGCCTGTCGAAACGCAATCGCCAACACAACTCAACATACCCCACCTCGATGAGCCGATCCACGTGCTCCTATTGCTGTCTTGTTAACGCTGTCTCCCCGACAGCAAACGTCACGAGGCATTATCCATCCTATCAAGGATCAAAGCGCAAACAAAAAGCAGGAATACCCTGCTGATACGCCTCAATACCTACCAGTTAGCGTGGCGCAGTCAATGAGCAGGTCCGGCATCTCCGAGGAGGCTTCGACTAGCGCGTCCGCAAGCACCAGCCGACCCTCAGCATCTACAGCAAGCGGAGAGAGAGGCACACGCAGAGACAAACAAAGACAGAGACAGAGGCAGAGGGAGACAGAAAGTGGAGCAGAGACAGAGACAGAGAGACAGAGAGAGAGGCGGTGTAGGCGTGATGGGGGGAGCGGTGATTTTCCATGTGTATACGAACTGTTTGTGTTTTTTGTGGACAGCATCGACCACGCACACTGGTCTCGCCAATTAATATTGGGTCGGTCTCGGCGAGACACCAAGGCTAACCCCAATTTTGTAGGCCTTCCAAGGGGTTCTTCATTGTTCTCCAAAGCAGTAGGGTCGTTGGCACAAGCCCAGCGGTAGACACCAACCCCTATAGTCTCATCCACGCCCAGAGCAAAACACGTCCCAGCCGGAGTCCACAACATCATGGGAGCGAGGCATCGCGATCGAGTCATCAATTATCAAACACCCTTGGTTAGACGCAGCGCCTGGAGCAAGAAGAGAGGGGGACGGAAGCTAGGACAAGGGTGTGATGATCTTCCCAACGTTTGTGCGTGTGTCTTTTATTATTGTCATCGACCGCGCTACCAGGCTGGTCATTGCAAAGACGTCAGTAGTCTCCGTGCGGTTGCTCCCACAAAAATGCTTCGAAAGGCCATCACGTGTCTGTGTGTAGTGCTTACCCGTGTTCCCGATCTCGCTCGTCTTGCCGCTGCGAGAAACGAGCACGTCCCCCGGGCGGAAAGCACCACCGTCGATGGCGTTCTCAACGGCGGGTACCATCACCCGCAGCCGCACGGGAAGGCCCTGAGACATGATCATCCTCGCCAACCCAAGCACCTTGGTGAAAACATTCCACGGGCGAGTGGGAACAACACGAGGAGCCGGTTGTTAATACATCCATCGTATGTCTTGGGGGGTCGTTGCGAGAGGAACATCGTTTCCTCCGTGACAACCGCAATTACGGCTCCCCCGAAGCGCCCGTGTGCTCATTGGCCGCTCGGCCCCGCAACAAAACGCCTCATATTAGTCCCCACGCTCCTCCTTGCTCCCCCCACAAAATCACCCAACTCACCAAATACGGCATCAGATTTATTTTTGCACGCTTAAGCTCCTGCATATGGAGTCGGCGCTCGTCCCCCACTTAAACTCCTCGCTTTAGTCCTCACACTTGTCCTCTTGCTCTCCCAAAAAACACGCACACTCATTACACGGTCAGCCGGCCAGCACGGTCGATGCTAGAAACAGAATCAGAGTGTCATCCTGCGTTAAGCCCGGCACGAAAAAAGAGGCCACCTGAAGCTTTTCCACCAACTACCTGTTCAACCTCGGCCCCCGAAGCACAACAAAGGTCAGGGAATGAGCGCGTTCTCCTTGTTGCAAGCATGCATTCTCCCGTCGCTGGCGGAAGAACGGAACAAGATAGAACAGAGGACAGAACAGAACAGAACAGAATAGAATAGAATAGAACGGAAAACAACAAAATAGAACAGAGAGGAGGAATGACATCAACCCAGCGCGAGCCAAGCACGCCGCCTAACCGACACACCAATATCCCCACCTGCGCGCCCCCGCCCATGTCCTTCTTCATGGTGAGCATGCCGGCCGCCGGCTTGATGTCCAGCCCGCCGGTGTCGAAGCAGACACCCTTGCCCACGAGGGTCACCTTCCACGAAGAGAGGCAAGACGAAAATAACAGAGAGAGAGAGAGAGAGAGAGAGAGACAGGGAGGGAGAGGAGGGAGGGAGAGAGAGGAGGGAGGGAGAAAGACGGGGAGAGATTGGAGGAGGGGGGGGCGGGAGAGAGCGAGAGAAGTCCGAAAGATGATAAAGCCGACAGATGAAAGATCCGAAAGATTAGAAACCCGAACGATTGAAAGATTGAAATAACAGAATCCGAAAGAGTAGAATCTGAAGGATTGGAAAGCCGAAGGATTGGATGCCGTAAATAAAAAAACTACCATACCATCATACTACACGCAAGAAGGAAATTAAAGTACCACCCCACAGTCGCCGGCTGGTTGTCAGCACGGGTATCAAGAACAACAAGGTGACTTGCGCCTCATTTGATTGGCTGTCCTTCAGCTTGGGGGATCGATCGGCATCCCAACCACTATTTCTCAACAACACTGACACAATTGATTACTTCGTGGACGAGATCAACGGCCCCACCCTAACATTCGGTCACGGCAAAAACCAAGCAGGAAGCCGACAACAAAAACGGCGCAACGTTCCGGGCCTCGTGGATATGGCAGATACGGCGGTGGCGTCATGAATTTCCAGGCTCGTAGCTACGTTGTCGTCATCGGAAAGGGAGACGATTACTGGTCGAATAGCCTAGGCAAGCGAGCACAAAACTGGGTGTGCACTGTCGTGCTCCGTCCTGGGTTTTGTGGCTACCGCTTTCGTGGCTTGGACTACCGTGCCCCCTCTAGTCCTTATTTCCGTCCACGTGTGTTAACCGTTTCTTGCACACGCGCGCGCACATGCTCCCCTGTACCGGGCGAGGAACGCGCATGCCCGCTGCTCGCCAACGCCGTGCTAAAACAAACGCGCACCTTGGGGAGGCTCTCAGCGTCGGAGCCAGGAGGCGCCCAAGTCAGGTCGAGAAGCCTGGGCTCCCGCCCGACCCCGGCCGCGCGCCCGACGGCATGAACCTGTCCGGCAGCAACACAAAGAAACAAACATATCCAATCAGTATCCACCCGATTTTGTCCCCTGTCGCTGCCCAAATGTAAATCGACCCATGTCGCTCTTTGGTTGTAGGTATATTTCCTGAATACAAGAAACAACATGCACACAAACACAAACACGCAAGAGTTCGTCAGATCTGTGCTCGTACCCAGCACGTGAATACCCTTCTCAAACATGGCAAGGTGAGCTGAACAGTCACGAGCCGGCAAATAAAGAGACGTCAGTTCTTCGGGTCGAGGCTCGATGTCCTGCGCCGTCGCCGCGTCGAGCACAAGTTCTGACGTAGAGTTTTTAAGTAGGATCCACCGCCAAGCTGTGCTTCTCAGCGCATACGTCGTATTCTTCCAGACAACAACGTGTGAGCCTGAATTAATAAATCACAAAAACATACTTCTAAGTAGCTTGGTTGCAGGCGTGTTCTGTGCTGCTGTGCTGTGCCATGATTCATCCCTTGCCCCTTACCATTGGATAGCTGTCACCCTCCTTCAGTAATTCATCTCCCCGGACCACCTTCGTGGTCCCACCGAACTCCTCCGCCAGCGAGGTGAACACGGCCTGCTCAAAAAGGAGGTACGTGGTTGGCAGGGGGGGGGGGGGGG